TATTATTATTATTATTATTATTATTATTATTGCCTTTCCTTCAAATATCTGTACATTTATTATTATGTTTAGTTATTATTTTGTTTTTCAAGAAAAAAAATCACAAATAGGGACTGATAACACTCCAGTTGCGAGCTTTTCTACATTTTTTTTATATAAACGTCAAAAGTATTTTATTTTGATTTCGTGAGAGAGGCCAACAGAGTGATGTTTTTCCCCTTTTACTCTGATACCCCTCAGTAAAATCCAGTTCTTTCCAGCTGTTTTCTGATGACAATAAAGCCCGGCTGTGTATAATATCAATCCAGCTGTTCTGTGAAGGCCTCATAGGGAACATTAGTTTAACTTTTCTTCATGTGGAAGCTCAGACCCGTCAGTATTTGCAGAAAGATGCTGCAGATATTCTAGAGGGAGGTCATGCTGATCACCAAACTCCAAAACATAAATCAAATTGGAAAAAAAATTGACTAATAACTGCATTTCTCATAATCATAGTTAACTCTTTAACCTGTTAAGGAGCAATAAAAACCGTGACACTACGCACATTTCTTTAGTCAATTTGTATTTATAGCAAGTCGCCACGAGAGGGCGCCAAAAGGCAACGGTTTGTTATTTACTTTTTTACTGTTGATGTTTATCTCAGTATCTTCATTTTACACTTATAGTTAAAAACGCTGGTGTAACAGCAAGGCGTGATGCTGAAAAATGTCAAAAGGTTCCTCACTGTAGAATCATAAAGCTACGAAAACACTTAGCTGTTTGTTATTATCAGCAAAACAAATCGCATGTCGCTCGACCGCCAGTCATCGCTTGGTGGAATGTTGTATCGTTATGAATAGATCTCACCAGTCAAATTGTAATAGCCTCTTGTTACCAGCAGATGTCACCCACATCAAAAATATTAAAGTCCTAAAATGACAACCTAGAAAGGTTCTTTGTAAACAAAGCCAATTATAAGCCATAATAAAAATGTTTCATGTTTATTAAATACGAAACATTCATATTTAACAATAAATTAAATGGGACAATTATGACATGGACATTTTTATTATTACTGGGATAAAGTTGTGAAGTGTTACAGGAGGGTTAGAAATCAATATGGAAACCGTATGGGAAAACTACAGGCGGCTTTTAGTTACTCTGCAGGAGCTGCTGACATCACCAGCTCAGGTGGAGAAATCAGGACAACTATTTAGTTATGAAAGCTGACAGAAAAATAACAAAAAGAAAATATTTCTTTGTTAAAAGAAGTCTGTGAGAAATTGTATTATTTTGTCACAACCCATGTGGAGACACAACAACTTAAAGATAAAAATGTTCTGGTTCAATGAGAATAAAATCAAACTGCATGCAAAATGCAGAAAACAAAAGACTACCTATTACCCTGAACACACTCTCCCTGCGGTGAAACTGGTAGTGGCAGCATCATGTGTCATCAGTATCATGCATTTCTTCAACAGGGAGATGGGTTGTGTGGCTCCAAAGAAAAGGCCACCAGTCCCCACAGTTATACAAATCATCATCTGCTTATTTTTGGTTTCTGTCTGTTTAATAGAAGAAAGAATGTTATTGGGTTAACTGTAGACCAAATGATGACTGGAGCTTGTTCCTTAAGAAAGTATGCTAATTCATTAAATCTAAGCAAAGTCTCTGCGCTGATTCTTCACATTTGTGTGAAACCTGTTCCACGTTGGCCTTGGCTACATTTTTATCAGAGGATAGGGAACAACATTTTGTCTTTTTCAGTAAAAATAGAGAGAACTTGCTCCTTGGTTACTAAACTGTGCATCAGTAATATGATGGGGATGATAAGCCCGGTCCCCCTGGCTTTCTCGCTTATTATTCATTCCCTTTCTTATTCCTTGACTTCTGCTCCCTCTCTGCAATCTGTGCCTCTGCCACCTTTGGCACCATCCACCCACATGGCACCTGTGCCAAGCCTGGCAGCACAAACGGGACGCTCTGCTTAGCTCAGTTCAATTGACTCGTTTAGGCAATTGCACCCTGACTCTGATCTCAGTCGCTGCCCGGATATTTTTTTCATCCTTAGCCTTTGAGTGGACATCGTGGAGTTTTCTTCCCCTTTAAGATCATGATTTTTATTTTATGTATTGATAGATTTTTTTTTAATCAAGTGCCAAAAGTACCAAAATAAAAAATATTTCTATAAACAATAAATTTCATGTATGTTGATTTCAAACTGCATAATTAAAGAAATTCATCCATAATTAAATAACTAAATGTGTTACATGTGAATAGATTTTTTTGAAGGTTTCCCGCAGAAAGCTTGTGGCGCTCGGCAGTCGTTCATCCAGCAGCCTGCTGTGTTTTTGAGTTAAAAAATGTTTAAAGTTAACAGAAATTTTGAAAATATCACTAGATATTATGTGTTATTGGAAGATTAATATCTGAATACCTACGATAAAGTCTTAAAAAATGCAGACTTTAAAAAAAAGCAATGTTAAGCCTGGTGGGGGCACAAGTAAAGCCTAGTGACCCGCCAGGCTTATAATACACTGTGTATTTATATTATTTAATAATGTCTATGGTGCAGGTGGATGTTGTGTAGCACATGTGTCAAACTCAAGGCCTGGGGGCCAAATCTGGCCCGCCATAGCTGTTTATGTGGCCCTATGGACTCCAAATTACATCAATAAATCCCTCCAGTATTTCACAAATCTGTAAAATTCACACAGAATCTGCAGATTTTTACTTCAAATTTCTCTCAAAATTGACCTAAAACACTGGGTTTTAGGTCAAAACCAGTGACTGCTGCCTCAGTCTTACTTGATGATTATTTGATACGGGGATTAATAAAAAATCACATATGAGATCATACAGTAGCGCAAATATGTAATGTATGCTTGATTACATTCCATAAGCTAAAATCATACATTGTTGTTTTTCAAGCTTCATTCAATTATTTCATGTTTTCTCAGCTGCAGGTGCACCAGCGAAAATTTTGGACTTGTCAAATTTACAACAACATTTGATTGGTTATCCAATTGGATGTTCTATCCGTCCATCCATCCATTGTCTATACATGGTTACCCTTGTAGGGTCACATCTGGTGCCTGTCTCCCGCCGTCAGGGAGTGAAAGTCGGGGTTGGCTCTGGACAGGTCACCAGTCAATCAAAGGCCAACACTGACAAGCAATTACATGCTCACACCTAAGGGCAATTTAGAGTAATTAACCTAACAGTCAGATTTTTGGACTGAGAGGAAGTTGGAGTACCCAGAGTGACCCCAGGCCAGGGTCTGAACCCACAGCCTTTTTGCTGCAAGGCAACATCAATACCAACTGCACCACAGACCTGCAGCATTTTTTAAAATACTTCTGTATTTTCTTCCAGTTTTTTATTTTTTATTTTTTTAGCATACTGGCATATTAAGGTAATCATTTACATATTATTTTTTTGAATGGCTTCACAGTGACACAGTTGGGTTCTAATCCTGGGTTCAGATCCCAGTCTGACTTCTTTCTGCATGGGGTTTACATGTTCTCCAGCGCATGCACTCTGGCTTCCCCCCACAGTCCAACAACATGCCCAGTTAATTGGTCTCTCTATACTGTATTTAGGTGTTTGTGCACTGTTGTTTGTTTTGTGTGTCTCCATATTATGGATTCTCACTTTGATGGATAAATGGATTTATTGAAACGTGGGACACTTGAACCTCCAGACTTCCATATTCAAAGGATGTAGTAAAATTATCGTATTTGGTTTTTTGAAATTGCTCATTAAGTTAAAAATTGAACTAAAATATTTTTAATTGTTTTTAAAAATAAATTTAAAAATTAAATTGTAGCACTTTTAGGCCTCCAAACACCATTCACAATTGCAAACTAATCAAATATATTCACAAGTATTTACTTTTTTTATCAGAAATACAACGTATTTATCAAAACAAAACATTTATTAATGACATCTGTATTTTTGTATGTTCATTTGAATATTTGCATTTGTTTAAATGACACCTTTAGCCAGTCATGTAATTATTAATTTTCATTTAGGAAATTCTGACCTTTATGGACGTCCATAAATCTGCATTGTGCCAATATAATGATTGAATACATAGTGAAATAATTGCATCTACTTCACATATTTATTAATGATACATTTATCTTATTAAATATTTGTAAACTAATTCTGTCATTTCACTTTTTAATGACTTACTGAAATTTTTGGACCACCTTACTACTCCAAACTTTTGGTCAGTAAAACTATATATTTTTTACATGACACAATAGTTTAACTGTTTATTAAAATATTTTGTAATTGTTTACCATATTGTTACAATTATGTAATAGTCCGTGATATACTTGTGGCACTTTTGCACTTCCATACACCTGCTGTTTTTATGAGTTACAAAATATTTATTAATAGCATGCTTTTTAGCTAAATATTTATTGAAGCATTTATTTGTTTAAATTTTCAACTACATCTTGACAATTTCTTTCGTTCTTTGTTTTTTCTTTGCAATAAATTTACCTCTCATGGACTGCCATACTTTTGGACAAAATTGTGGTTTTAAATTTATTGCTTGAATCTTACTGTTTACAATTTTTTTCTCCCCCAAGACAAAAGTGAGTTGATTTTTCATTCTACATTATTAATCCACAGTAACCCTGGAGTTGTCACTATCTAACGGTGCTCTTTGTTTTGCTGTAGCTGCACAGGATCAATCAGAAATGTTTTTATAGGCTTACTATAATTATTTCTAGTAAGGGGATTGTTTTCCTACACCCCATATTTGAGATTAACCCCGTTTTCCCCAATGATAGCGGCTAAAAGAAGCATTTTTATTTGTGCCATCTCGCTCTTATTCCATTTTTCCTTTCAGCTCAGTGACAGATGGCGAGTCCTTCTCCCCCGGGGGAGTGGGGGAGCTGGAGGGGGGCAGTCTCTGTGAATGCGGCCGCATGTCAATCACCGGTTCTCATGTGATGGTTCCTGCCAATGACGTGCCAGCCATATGGGCCTGGCATCAGAGCTGCTATGTAACCCACCCGGTCCCGCCTCTGAGGTGGCACACGGCTCCCTCTCAGCACGGCTTGTGCAGCAGATACAGACAGATCAGTAGCAGCGGCGGCGGCGGCGGCAGCAGCAGAGGATCCAGACAGGAACGGAGTAGCAGGAAACAGGCGTGAGAGCATCCACGCAGCATCCCCGCAGAATCCGCGCAGGGCGTGTGGATGTGATGCCCACCCGGAGAGAGATGGTGTAAACAAACCAGCTTTGCCCCGTCACTGAGCTCCACCGCGGAGGTAGGTTAACCATCTCCTGTTCTGCTCTGCCTTTGTGCTTGTTACTCCTGCAGCGACGGAGAATATTAATGTCTCAAAGCAAAAAAAAAAAAAAAAAATACCTGAAGATAATTCAATGCCTCAGTTTGCTCTTTCTCTATGATAAAATCAGACTAGATCCTAAACTCATTTAAACCCCCCTCAGTGCTGCTCTTTTTGCATTCTTGCATGTTTAAATGAAAAGATTACAGTCGAATAAATCAACACAATTAGAAATACATCCCAAATAGCATTTTTTATTTTCTTATAGAAAATTAACATCGGGGCTGTAATTTATTTGTGGCTGCATGGGTGCGTGTGTGTGTGTGTGTGTGTGTGTGTGTGTGTGTGTGTTCGTGCACGACGCTCGTCAGAGCCGTGGGGGTTGAATTCTCCACAGAGATACACGGGCTAATTGACAAGGTATTGGTTGGCATTAATTACATTGTGCTTACAAGATTAGGGAGGAAAAAAAAAATACACCCTTGGACTCCACAAGCACAGCTGAGCTCAAAAACATTTGAGAAGATCCGAGAATTTTAGGGATTAATTTTTTATTTAAATGGACAACTTTCCTGTTGAGTCCGACTTACAAGTCTGTGTATCAGAGCAACGTACTTCGTGTACGGATTCATTTTGCCCCGCATGCTGTGCGTAATGGAGATGCCTTCCTATCTTTAAAATTTATTTAATTTTCCTAAGATATTGAAAATCCCAATTCAAATTAGAAAATGGCTTATAAATATAATCCTACTCAAGTTGATCTAATGCGCTAATCCTTATATTTTTAGTATCTCTTGCGAGCTTGTTTGGAATTTCACAAATAATTTAAGCAAATGAGGAATCCCGAGAAAGCTTCTTTTTTTTAAAAAAAAATCCCCTAAGAATGCGTTTATGCGCAAAAAAATAAAAAATAAAAACAATGTTTTGGATCTCGTTTTATTCTGAGGCCTTGTTGTGCAGGAATTTCTAAGGGATGTCACTTTTCCTGCAGCAGATATCCGTACCTCGAGTGCGTCCCTCGGGAATAAGCTTATGCTGCCCGACACGTCTCCTCACACAGGTTTAGGCCGAGGAGAGTCCGAGGCTTACGCTGCAAGCAATTAAATATTAACCTTTTATCGAATTTGAATGGAGACATTAAATAAGAATAACAAACACCCTATGGGGTGAAAAGCAGTCAGGTTTAGTTACATTTCCAATATCTTTGACAAAATCATCAAGACACGTAGCTTCATTTGGATTTAAGATTTGCCATAAATATTTTAAGTCGTTCCCAACTGTATTTCTGAACAAAATAGCCAAACTATTTTACAGTTTTATTATTATTGGTGGAATAAGTCGGAGACACACCTTGAGGCTATAAACTCAAAACACTTTCTGACTTTTTCCTCTTTTCGGGCAGGCCAATCCTCGTCTTGGCCTCCGGTGAGAATAGAGCTCATTAAAACGTGTCGTCTCGTTTTGCACAATACACGTGAGTGCGTCAACAGCCACAGGGCCGCAGCGTCATAGTCGGTGCTGGTCGATTATTTCGTAGCTAAGCCGATGATCGTTTTGTACCCGGTTCTTCGGGTTAGAAATCCTTTTTCTGCGGGACTTTCAAGGACGACTAAGAGTCAGTTGGTGGCCCGGATGGAGAGGATTTTACACCCACTTTGACAGCCAACAAGGAAAGACGTTTTAACTTTGCTCATGGGTCACAATGGAGTCCATTGGCGCAAACGAGAATTAGCCAATAAAAGGTGCTTTTCCCTTCGGCACTTAGTTTTGGTCGTTTCGTACCAGACTTTTCAGGTACGAAACGAAACTCATTGACAAGTGAAGTTGATATTGTACCCTGTGGGTTAATTGGTTAACGTTTATGTTAACAAATCTAGTTTTGTTTAGTACCTGTTAACAAACCATTTCGTACCATCTCATTTTTATTGTTAAAAAAATCTCAATAACCCACATTGTTATATCTATCTATCTATCTATCTATCTATCTATCTATCTATCTATCTATCTATCTATCTATCAGTTTATATTTTTCTGTCCTAATGACAGAGCCGATCCCAAGGTTGTATGGGGCCTCGTGCAGATTTGCAGTTCGGGCCCCACTCTCACCTACAACCCACTACATCAGCTGCAGTAACAAGTCTTTGAAACTGTCCACACTTGGCTGTTTGATTCAAATCAATTTTTACAACAGAAAGAATAATTTGAAGCACAAATTATCAAACTAAACACAGGTCTTTAACATTTGTAAAGACAGCAGTAAAGACACCAGCACAAACCCAGGCAGGAAGACAGATGAAACTTTGAACTATAGTGAGATTAATGTATGACTAATAACATAACAGATAATAGAGAAATATGTTTCTCTCACAACTAATACATTTTTCAATTCATAGAACCCTATATATTTTTTTTTATTTTAAACATCTTAAGACTTAAGTGGGGGAAAAATGCTACTCATCAATTTAAAAAAAAATCTGGCGCATTGTTAATTAAAATAACAGATTAGAAAGCTTTAAATTTTTCTTTATAGTCCAGTGCTCTTGGTCGACCCCTGCTGGCCTGGGGGTGGTGCATGCAAGCCAAACAGCAGTTTAGTTTTCTTTGCCTGTCTGAGTATTTTTGTCTGAAGATCTATTTCCATGTATTCTTGTTTTGATCTCTATTGGTAGATATTTTTTATTAGTCATTTAAATTTCCTGACATTAGACAATCAGTAGAAATGATAAAATTGCTGTAAATCGTCAAGAGGTGTGGTAGGTAACTCCATTTTATAAGAAAAAGGAATGAAATTGCAAAAGAAACAGTTAAATAAAGGCCCAAGACTACAAAATTAGAAAATGGCCAAGAGGGGAAACGACCAGTTCGTTCATTGGCTTCCTAGTTTTAAATAGAAATATATTAAAACAGATTTTCAGGAAATAATAAACAGTTTAATGCAAGTATATGTGTGAGGCATTCTTTTAATGATTCATAAAGAGATCCTTTCCAAAAAATGTTCAATGATTTTGAGGTGCGTGGTTATGAAATGTCCTGTTTGTTTGCAGGAAAACGAAGGGAGGAGAGGCGGAAATGGATACCAAATGGTTACGAATTAGATATTTACCTGATGCCTACAGAAAATGACTCTAGCTGGTTGCCAAGATGAATACGAGTTCACACATTGTTGCTAGAAACAACTAAATTTAGCAACCGAAAAGTCAAGTTCAACACGACCCAAGACATAAAGATACAGAGTGGTTAAGAGGTGAAATGACCAGCACCCCAAAAGAAAACAAATAGTTAAAGTTTTCATATACAGTTCAGGTATGTGAACAAGATGGTTTGTTTGTAATAAGATAAATGAAGTAAGAAACGGATCGTCCAGCTGACGAATTGTATCCGTATCTTACAGGTTGTCTGCCACAATGTTGAGCCGTCTGTTCAGCGAGGTGCTGCCGGACGTCCAGCGGTTGGCGGCGGACTGGGTGCAGGACACCGACAGCGACGGATGCAAGGTGAAGGAGGAACGCGAGCCGTGCCACCTCGGAGAGGACGATTTGGACGAGCCGCGGGAGGGCAGCAGCCGGGCAGAGTCCGAGATGGCCGGGGACGACGACGACGAGGACGATGATGGCGAGGAAGAAGAGTGCGGGGACGAAAACGGCGGGGATAAACCCAAGAAGCGCGGCCCGAAGAAGCGCAAAATGACGGCGGCGCGCATGGAGCGCTCCAAGCTGCGGCGCGTGAAGGCCAACGCGCGGGAGCGCACGCGCATGCACGATCTGAACTCGGCGCTGGACAACCTGCGCAAAGTGGTGCCGTGCTACTCCAAAACCCAGAAACTCTCCAAAATAGAGACTCTGCGGTTGGCCAAGAATTACATTCTAGCCCTCGGGGAGATTTTACGCAACGGGAAACGTCCAGATGTGGTGACCTACGTGCAGATGTTGTGCAAGGGCCTGTCCCAGCCTACCACCAACCTGGTGGCGGGCTGCCTGCAGCTCAACACCAGGAACTTCCTGACCGAGCAGTGCGCGGACGGAGCCCGCTTCCACATGCCCAGTTCTCCGTTCTCAGTGCATCCCTACCCCTACCGCTGCTCCCGTCTTTCTAGCCCTCACTACCAGCCCGGAGCCGGAGCTCTCAATATGCGGGCCCATTCCTACAGCGGCTCCGGGTATGAGTCCGTGTACATGCCGGGCGGGACGTCTCCAGACTACAACAGCCCGGAGTATGAGGGCCAGCACAGCCCGCCGGTGTGCCTGAACGGCAGCCTGTCCGGGAAACAGCAGGAGTCCTCAGACACAGACAGGAGCTATCATTACTCTATGCATTACTCCGGACTGACCACATCCCGGCCTAATCACGGCCTACATTTTGGACCATCGGGAGCGCGCAGCGGAGGCGCGCATTCAGAAAACATCCCACCTTTCCACGACGTCCACCTGCACCACGACAGGGCGCCGCCATACGAAGACCTGAACGCTTTTTTCCACAACTGAGCAGCTCAGAAAAGGAGGGGAGCAAACTACAGGCTCACCGACTCCACAGAGACAATCCTAAAGAAAGCGTTTATTATTTAAAAAAATGCAGCAGTCGGAGCTCCTAAACGATTACCTTCTGTGTGTCACCTCTATACTGTTGTACATCCTATCAAAAAATGTGTCCAGTAAATTATTCCTGTATGCAGAATGAGTGCAATTTAAAATGTGAAAGTCAAGAAGAGACATGTTGTGACAAAAACAACAGAAATAATAAAAGAAAAGGTGTTTTATAATTGTCTGAGTGGAGCGATCTTATTTTGCTGTGAACAGTAATAAATACATCAATAAATAAATTGCGGCTTATTCGAATAAATCAACATTTTAAGCAGTATCCGGAGGAAATGTTAGGTTTTAAACAAAAAAATTGTCATTGTTTATTTATAACAAACATCAAGAGCCCAGTTTAAAGATAAGGGTTGGTGTTACTGTCGACAAATTACCTTTTTAGGAGATTTTATTTTTATGCTTCATTAGGAACAAATTTTAAGAAGATTTTAGTGCATTTAAATTCGCTATTAAATTGATTTTGGCCAGAAACATCTGTCTTGACTTGTTGCTTACAAAATATGTAGTTTCAGAAATGACGGAATGATTGTGAATCAAGGCGACCATCATTTGATAATTTAAATAAAACGTAATCAGATCCTTTACGTGCAATACGCATAAGCCAGCGACAAATAAGCTGGAGTCCGACGCTAATTAGCAGAAGCGCATTTTACCGACGGACATGCGCAAAAGCTCATGAAGGTGATTAGTTTTACAAGCAGAAGCCAAAGGAAATTAATTACATCCTGCAAAGTGCACCCACAGTTCAACATTTCAAACCTGTTGCTCAAAGGGAAACGTGTAAAATGCTTCCGGAAAGATCCGAAGAAGATGAAAAATGTTCTAATTTGTCCAAAACACAAAACATATGTGAACCTGACCTAACGCATCTAAAATGCGCAGAAATCCTACGAAATGTGTCACGAGCGCAACTATTAGGAAGGAGCCTCTATTAGAATGAGGAAAAACATGAGCAAAACCTCAAAGTACATTTTTGGTGCAGATTTTCTCAGTTTTTATTCATTTTAATTCAACAGAGATTTTTTTTTTTTTTCCGTGACCTGGCGATGACATGCGCGACCTTTTCATCGTTGTTCTTCCGGTGGAGCAGGTGGATCTGATCCCAATCATAAACTGGTCTGATTCATCAGGTAAGTGCGCTTATAAAACGGTGTGATGCAAAATAATTTAATATATTTTATATTTAAAAGGAGAAAGGCTACATCAGAGACTTTCAGGCAAAGTCAAAATGGCCACAACTTGAACTACTTCGAAAAAAAAAAAAAAAAAAAAAAAAAAAATTCAATCTAAGGCTCTGATTTGGTATTGAAATTGCGCAAATGTAGAAATAAAATTTCAACTTTCATTTTAATCTAATCAGCATATATTTGGTCTTGTATTGAAATAGCATTTCGGGATACTTTGAATGCAGATTAGAGAGTGTGTCTGCCCCATAGCGGGAACCGGCACCATGTTTTGGACCGGAGCCCCGGGCCTCATGTGTTGTCACTGACATCCAGGGGTAATCAGTAGCTGCTGGGCGCAGGGGAGAGAAAAGTGACCCATCCAGATCCGGAACGGGCCAGATTTATTTGAGTCAAAATTTGTATGGAAATTCAACAGATCCAACATTATCAAATATCTTTGTATTATTATTTTGTTATTTATTATTTCTTTTTATGATTTCATTCTAGCATAAAAGCTCGAATGGAATCACCAAATAAATAAATAAATAAAAGTATCCGAACTAGAACCAGGCGAGTCAATGAGCCGCCGGGTTAAACCTGAAGAGGCCCGAAGCTGAGTGGACTTTCATTACAAATACGAAAGGTTCAGTTAACTGCGACGATTAAAATGAAAATAAATCACACAAAAATGAAAGCTGAATAAATGAAATAAATAAATGAAAACACGTAAGAAAAGCCAATTTGTCGTTAAGTGAGTATTAATTACAAAATGATCAATATTTACTTCTTGAGGCTACAATCATGTGGATGAAAGGCGTGTTTTTATCATTTTTTGATCAACTATTTGTCAGAATTAACCCTTTGCAGCGTCTCATCACAATCTGCTTAAAATATTATAGATTTTTTTTTAATCTACAAAAGATTAAAACTTTAAATTGCATGATGCACTGCTTTTCAACCCATTAAATGATTCAATCAGCTGATGCGTTTTGATGGGACTAATGTGAGCATTTTTGGACACTTGTAGCCGCTGAACAGTCTAAAAAGAGATTATGTCTATTAGCTTTAATTTAAACATTTTATGCTATCCAAACCTCATCAATAAATCCTGTGTGAGGGCGTCTTAGCCGAGTGTCCGCTTTTATTTAAAGGACTGGCCTGAGAGGGCGAGCTGAGGGTTTCAGGTTGTCGCGTCTCATATATTGTTATTATCTGCTCTTTCTCAATTTGCCCCCCCCCCCCCCCCCCCCGAAAAGCGCGCGGGGGGGGGGGAGGAATTTTGTGGGGGCACGGGG